AATAACAGAAAGAAAGTATTCTTCTTCAAAAGTTGCACGTTTCTGAATAAGGAAGCAAGTCCTTATATATGCGCAGCAGTGGGCTTGGGCTGAAAAACAAATATTAAAATCTTTTGAATATTTTCATGTAAACATACCAAGATATAATCCATGCAAATAGAAAAATATTCCTCCATGTTTTTCGCAGCCTGTGAGTCACAAATCCTGAATTATGGCGCGCATGAAAACAAGAAACAAATAACTTAAACTGATATTAGCTGAGTTCAGTTCAGGAGACAGATGTCAAGACATCTGCTTTGACATCATTCAAAACAGTTTGCTAAAAATTTCAAGACATTTAGCAAATCATTATCAATTCATTGTTTTACCAAAATTGCTACCAACAAACACTTACACTTCCCTTTGCATAACCAACCCTCGTACCTATATTCTCTCCCCTTCTTTTTTGGGTTATTCGCTCTTTTCTCATTCCTTTGGAAACAATAAAGTGCGGTGGATATTTTTATTTGATATGTGTAAGTCAAGTCAATATAATGGCTTAGTCTCAACATTTCTACCCCTACAACTCTCTCTCTCTCTCTCTCTCTCTCTCTCATAATCTCCAAAATTCCCTCTCTAACTTCATCTTATCTAATTAACCACTTTTCACCATTAATTCACCAAATTATTTTGTGCATGTTCCAACATTTTCCATCAAGAGCTTAGGTTCTAATCCATTAATCCACTGCAAACATGTCTACCGTTTCCAATGATAGAATCTCTACCAATCTTCCAGCCCTTGACTCCATGAACTATGACAAATGGTGCAAAAAAATGAAAGTTTTGTTTAGGTATTGAGACATTCTTGAAGTGGTTAGCGATGGTGTTACACCACTTGGGGCAGAAGCTACAACTGATCAACAAGGTACATTCAAGGAAGATAAGAAGAAAGATTACAAGACACTCTTCTTGATACATTCTTGCCTCAATAATGACAACTTCAAAAAGGTTAGTGATTACGAATCGGCGAAGCAAGCGTGAGAGATCTTGAATAAAGCTTATGAATGGGTTGATAAAGAAAAGGTTGTGAGGTTACAAATTGACAAGAGGAAGTTCTAGCTGGTGCAAATGGAAGAGAATGAGTTGATCAATGATTACGTTACGCATATAACGCGTTTGGTGGACCAAATGAAATATTGCGGTGAAACCATCTCAGAGTAGAATGTTGTTGCATAAGAGGTGGATGATGATAACACACTTCTGTTCATGATCATAGAGGAGAATTATGGCAAGGAAAAGTTTTTGGACAGTAGCAGTAGCAGCTGTCAGTGGCTGGGCAGCAGCTCCTGTCGCGCGAAAAATGTTGCAGAAATATGTTTGGAACAAAACATAATGGTAACTGTTCAAGATGGAGTCCAAAGCAGTGATGAGTGGTACTTAGATTCTGGTTGTTCAACGCATATGACAGGTATAAAGGATTGGTTTGTCAAAATCAATTAAGCTTTAAAGAATAAAGTAAAATTCACGGATGACACCACTTTAGCGCCCGACAGTGTCAGTGATGTTTTAATCATGAAGAAGGATGGGAGTCATTCTTTGATCAAAGATGTGTTATACATTCCTGGAATTAAATGTAATATCTTGAGTATTGGCCAATTTCTTGAGAAGAATTACACAATTCACATGGAAAACAAGATTTTGCGCGTTTTAGACTGAAACTGTGTTTTAGTCCTTAGAGCACCCATGACTGCCAATTAGACTTTCAAGATAGAGTTGAAAGTGATGGAACATAGGTGTCTTGCTACACCGGCAAGTCGTGATGAGTGGTTGTGGCATTACCTTCTTGGACATCTCAATTTTTGAGACCTCGATGCGTTATAAAGGAATGGTAAAGTGACCGGTCTGCCTAAGATCAATGTTCCAGTTGAGATTTGTGAAGAGTGTGTTCAAGGGAAGTGTTGTACCGTAAAAAAACACAGAGTCTCCACCGAACTTTATTTATCCTGAAGGAAGGGAAAATATTGATAAAACTCCAAAAGGAAGGATAAGATGGTCTTGCGACCAAAAGAAATGGTATGGAAGTCGGTTACGCAAGGGGAATGTATTAACACCCCTCATGTTTGTGGTACTCTACGGGATTCACTCTTGTTGTTCTAATCAAAGAGTGTGTTATCTAAAGCTTACTTGCTAAGGGAATGCATGCATGAATTGCTTAAGGAAAAAAGTTTATAATTAGGGTGCTCGCCTCGGTTGTGAAACCTCATGCCTACGTATCCTGAAGGAATCAGAGCGCCATAGTTCACCTAAAAAATGTTAGTTTGTTGTGTGTTTTTTATGAACAATGTTAAGTTTTCATCTTATTGCAACTCTACCTTTGGAGATCCACGCATGGCATAGGACAAAATTAACATCTTCTTTCAGGAAAAAGTTGAAGAGAAAAGCCAAGAGGTGAAAGAGTTTGTCTTTGTTGAGTGTCTTGTTAGGAGAATATGTCAGATTGTCCATCAAAAGGTGGGGTATCTAAGTACTTATTCTTTGTTTCTTGAAAGTGTTTGAGTAATGTTAGATGTTTTTGCTAGGAGAATACATTAGATGGCCCCTTAGAAGGTATAGGTATCTAAGTACTTTTCCTTTATTTTTTATTAAAAAAATGGTTTTAGTTTTAGAATGGATGCAAAAAAGAAAAAAGACTAATCAAAAGGGGATCTCACTTAATTGTTGTCATGCATCATGGTCCTAATATTGGGATCAAGGGAAATTCCACTTAATTGTTGTCATACTTGGATTAAAGCCTAAAGTCTATTTTAATTCAACTTAACCAAAGATTAAAATTGAATTAAAACAAACCTAAGGGAGCATCATGAATATACAAGCAAGTACAAACATCAAGAAATGATCAAAAGAGAAGAATGGTGAAAGAAGCCATGGGGTGCAAGTTGAGTGGCTCTTTGTCCACCACAAAATATGACAAAAATGGTAGTAAACAAAACCAAAGTGTAGAAGTAAAGCATCAAAAAAGTATCAATACCCAACATCACAAACTGATTCCTAACTACGCAAACACAAACCCTACAAAGGTAGGACTTTAGCTCATGGCATCACTATCCTACTTCTCATGTCAAGAAAGAACTAAAATGATGCTTAAATGAGGGAGTAAAGGAGCTCAGATGATACCTAACAGAGAAGGTATGTTGTCTCTTCAAAGTCACGCAAGCAATAAGAAAATTCCACAGGAGCTTCGCATAAGCGATCAGATAAACTAATCCTCAAACATTTCATATCACAAAAGTTGCATCAACATTCTATCACAAAGCTAGCAAATCATATGAACATTCAATGAAACATAAATCCTATTTTTAGCATTTTTCATGAACAAAAATTAGTGAAAGAATCTACAAAACAAGATTAATATTCATACATGTACTTTCATGTCAATTTGCAAAAGGAAAATTAAAAGAAAATCAAGAGTTAACAAGGAAAATTCTATGTAAAACAAGAAAATATTACCAAGAAATTGAAACAGTGGAGGGTACTGGATCCAAAAAAGGAGTGTGTATAGATCCTACAAGGCGCTTGGGCTAAGGCTTCAGTGGACCAATTCAACTCTGAACAAACAAGCTGGCGTGATGAATCCATAGGGGGTTCGCTTCAGAAATTATTGGGCTAGGCACGCATCTTGGCCCAACGAATTATTCATAAGTTCATGTTTGTATCAAAAAGAAAACGAAAGGAATGTATCTGCTAAAACTAAAACGATGTCAGGGTTAGTGACCCTCGACCTTCATATGATCTTAGTCCCTCTCTTTCGCGATGTCAAGCGGCGATTTCCGGTGAGCATGCCGCCGCGAGCGCCGCTACTAAACCAGCTCAAATCACCATGGTCCAACATGTACATACCTTAAGACAACACTCTGAATCCAGATTCACCATCAATTTCTCCAAAAAAAAACTTCATATGACCGAATCAACAAAGAAGAACGAGAAACCCTAATCTTCAAAACGGCGTACCTTCCGGCCAAGTACCACGATTCGAGTGCTATTGTCGCTCGTGGACATCAAAGAGTGTCATAGTATTTCAAGATTGAGCAAGGAGCACATGTAAACGATCCTGATTGGAGCCTCTGATGTTCCGGCGCGGTGTGTTTCGTCTCTATCGGAGATTTCAGGTTGGTTACTTCTTCCCTCCTCCTTGTTCTCCTCAATCTTCTTCTACCTATTATTTTTCTTCTTTCGCATATGTTGTTGATTCTTGAGCGCGTTCTTGTGCTTCTGTTTGTTGTTTTTGTTATTGTGAGCATGAGAGTGGCTCTGAGATTGTTGAAGGTGATGAATGAAGTTAGAGATGAGATCGTGATGAATGATGAGGGAAAATTTATGGGGGAGTGTGGAGAATGGTTCAGAGATAAGTGAGAGAGGTTGAAGGATGAAGGTGAGGCTGAATGGTGCGTGTCGATTATTGAGCGTGTAGTGTGAGGTTGAAGAGAGAAGAGTGAAAGTGGAGATTGAGGTTCATAAGGGGTGAGAGAGATGAATGGTGGAGAATGAAAAATAACGCGTGAGTTCGGAGAGATGAGAATGAAGTGAAGAATGAAGAATAGTAAAAAATGTTTCTGGTGCGTGTGGATTGGAGGAGGTTGTTGGTTAGAGAAATCTGTTATGAGCTGTTAGGGTTAGTTTTTTTTGTTAGGAGTTTGTTACAGGTTTTTTGTGAACTGAAATGAGGCTTAGGATTAGTTAGTTGCTATTGATTCAAATTTCTGTTAATTGCTTGAACCTGATTTTAATTAGCTGATGTATTTAGTGAACTGGTTTTTGAGGTAAAGTCAGAAGGGGTAATAGTTAGCTTCAGTTTTTGTTTAGCAATTGTAGATGTGGTTCAGTAGTAGGTTTACTTTGGCTTTAGAATATTCGTGGTATAAGCATGAATTATGAGGTCAACTTGGAGCATGGATGCAAGCTTCTTAGGACTATTTTGGCTTGGAGTACATGATGTTCGCTTCAAAAATATATGAACTTGTGCAATGATTGGAATTCTAGGTTTTTTGGATGTATGTATTGAATTTGATTTATGGTTCAATGCAGGACGTGATTTGAATTGTCTGGATTTTGGTACCAACTGGTTGTTGTATGCAGGTTGGATTTTGTATGAAGATGAACTTGAGTTGTTTGCGAATGTAATGTGAGCTTACGACTGTTTGGTTTTTTGTGTTTGGGTGTGAATGTAGTGTATATATGAATATGATGCAGTTTTGGTATGGTTTAGCTTTGTTAACAGTTAGTTTGGACTGTTTTGTTTTAATGATTATTTGCAAACTGATGCTTTTTCTTTGGCTGAATAATGGCAGGTCCTATTGCTTTACGGGCTGCTTTGTGATGGTGCCAGTTTGTGGCAGGTGTGGTCTTGAACAGGGGAGCAGATGTTTTTAGAAGCTTGAAGAGGAAATTTTGAAGAAACAAAGCTATGGAGTTATAGCAAGGGTTTGGCATGAAGATAGATGGAACTATGGTAGAGTTAGAATTAGGAACAGCTAGGCTTAGTGTAACGCATGATGATCTCTTCTGTAATAGGATGGTAACTGAATGGTGCATCTTGTAATTGAATGTGACTTGAAATGGAGTATTTATTTGATTCTTGTATCTTGGTAACGGATTTTCATCATTAATGACCAAGACCTCTTTTCTTGTAGTGACTTGATATTTTTGAAATAGAACTGTATACTTGAATCAATGAATGAATGTACCCTTCTTCTTGTGAACATTGAATTTCCAAATCCTTTATTCTCTTTGCCATAACCTTCTTTAATAAATGGCCCGTGATAGATTCAAAAGATTAAAGTATGACTTTCTTTGTCAAAAGTCAACCACTTGAAATTGACTTTGACCAAAGTCAAAGATCTTGTCCATATAGTTTGAGTTCAATCTACGGCCATGTTCTTCTCAAGCCCAAGAACTTTCACTTCAAGAAACCATATATGCCATATTTGACTCAAAATGAACCTTAACACTCAAAGACCTTGAATGAAGAAGTAGCTTATACCAGTTGTGCCAAATGTTTTGTATTCACCAATGATCTAATACCATGTTCATATCAAAACCTTATTATGTGAGAAACAAATATATAACTTGTATAGCCTAAGCAATGTGACATCTTGTTCCCCACACATCATAGTTATTTAGATGAATTATCTTGGATCCATGATGAACCAGACTCTAACCCACATGAGAAACCTATCTTGCCATGTACATCACATCTTGCACAAAACTTGTGACTCAAGTCACGAATGAGATCATTTGAATGAGGGTCTTCACTAATGAACAAAACTCCCTTGATAACTACATGAATAAGGAAATAAACCCTAACTCAAGTGATGATTGTAAGCAAAAAAAAAAAATGATCCTTAATGTGATACGGTGGGAGAACTGACTTGAGTTTTTGCGTTTGTATTCGCACTTGTTCGGTTTAGCAAGAGTCGCCACCGACTTTTTATTTTATCCTACGGAAAGGTTAAAAAGCATAGGAAAAACCTTTTGAGATGTTTCGTGGGTTCGGGGGGTAGATTATGAAAATGGAAGGTATTAGCACCCTTTTCATCCATGGTTATCCATGGGCTCTTAGTTACTTGTTTTAGATCACTTGCCTTGGATTTTCAATTGCTTGAAATTGTGGTATGTGTGTGTGTGTTTGAAAATGTTTTGAAAAAGAGGCCTTGTCTAGGCAACCGTTGTAACAATTCTTTACTCAAATGTTTTACAAAGGTGTGTATCTTTTCGAAAAGATATTTCAAATGTTTTTGGAAGTTGTTTTGAAAGTGTTTGTGAATGGGTTTTGAAAAGTAGGCAAGTATGTTTTTGCAAGTTTGATCAAGTAACTAAGATTTGTCTACCCCTAAATTTACTCAAAGGTTTTTTCTATGTTTTAACCCTTTTAACAATTTTGTTCCACCATTGTATTTGGTGGGCAATCTTGCGTTAGGATGTTAACGGGACAGGCGCGGGTCATCGATTAGACCATGAATGCAATGGTGCCAAGTGTCTTTGACAATTTTTTCTTTAAGGGACTTGATCATTTTTAGGCAACTTTCGAAAGCGTCATCGAGGAACTATGATCATTTGAATTGTTTTGTTTTGCCAAAGAAACTCAACATGCAAGCATGTCCCATTTTGGAAGGCAACAAGCGGGATTACCCTAGGGGTGCAAGTGTGAATAGTGTGTTGATTGTCATGCATTTATCTTTGTGTTAGGTTATCTAGCGTTTGATTTTATTTACATACAAACCCTAGGTCTAACCATGGTATATTTGAAAGCGATAAATTGCGGGAATTTAAAGTCTACGCTATTACAAATAAGTATTCGGGAGTGGGGGTACAAATATTTACAAATGGGGATGAGACTTATTAGGAGAGTAGTGTCCAAATAATTTACAACCAAATCGAATCAATCGCAATGTAAAATATAATGTATAGCAATGTATAAGAATAAAGCAATGTAAATGTATATTGTATTCGTGTAAGTGCATGTAATTATTTACAGGTGATAAATGTTAACTTAATAAAAAAATTAAGTATTGTTTATTTATTTTGTATTCTTGTATTTTTGTTAATATGTACAAACAAAACAAGTTTTAATAAAATAAAAGAAAAGGCATTTTAAGTTTAAGAAAAAGAAAATATTTTAAGTTTTATGTATTAATGTTTTATGTTAGTATTTTTTATTGTACAAATGTTTATTAAACACAAATTCTACGAAAAGTAGATTATTTAAGTTAGGAAAAAAACTTATTTTTATACACTCTTAATTATAAAAAGAAGTATTAATAGACATTTTTTAAAAAGAAAGAGTTTTAATGTATCATTTTATTTATAAACAAAAATAAAGTATGTTAGTTTAAATTGTATAAAAAGGGAAAAATAAAAATGATAAGTTAAAAAAAATATTAGTTTTCAAAGATGTATATAATAAAAAAGTTAAGAGAATCCAAATGGGCTTAGGGACTTTGTTTTGGCCCAAACAAGACAGACAACAAAAAGAAATAAGAGGGAAAAGGGGGGTATGCGCGCTGGCTTTGATGGGCTTAAGCAATCTGAAAAAGGGCAAGGCCCAGATGGGTTTCACAACGATTTGTAAGGGTTGCATTTGTTTGTGTTCATTTGGGATTTAGGGTTTCAGTGAGTTACAGCGCGGCGCCGTTTACTTCGTCTTCGTTCTCCTTCATCGTCCCTTTGAGCCAAGTCCTGAACTCCCCTCCGTCTATGGCCGCCAAGCGCCATCGCTACCTCCCCCTCTCCATGGATTATTCAAGCGGAGGTTTACAAGGTATTGATTCTGTTTTAGGTCTTAACATGCTTTTATGTGTTACTTATGTTCTGATTTTATGTTGCCATTGTTTCTGTTTGAGGTATTTAACGAAAGGAGAGAGTTTTATACCTTTGTTGGAGACGGAGGCTTTTGGAGACGGAGGAGGGGTGGATCGGAGGTGCTTCAGGCGGCCAAGGAAGAGGGCGTGATGCACTGCGAACTAGCTTGCTTTGCTGGAAAACCTGGTATTCGTTGTCTTTGCTTTTTTAGGTTTAATGATGCATATTCTGAAAACCTTCGTATATCTCTTTTCCTCTTCTGTCTACTCGCTTCAGTTGCCTTGCTTTTGAATGGCTTAGAATCTGTTGAACCCCATGATGAGCCCAACTCTGAGGGTTTAGAGTTTTGGTTGGAACTGGTTTGGATTAAGGCTTATGCAGGTTTCAGTTATTTACAGGCTTGGTGTTGTTTGAATGCCTTGTGCCTTTTCTGGTTTGATGACAGTTTACAGGTTTTAGGTATTTGGAGACATGTTAGGCTTGACATTTACTGAGTTGCAACAGGTTTGAGGCTCTTGTTTGATAGTTTAGGCTTCTGGTTCATGGCTTGTTGTTTAGAGGCTGGTTAGGCTTGAGGCTTGCAGGCAGTATACTGGCTTGTATGGCTTGATGTTTGGTTTGTATGACTTTTTGGCTTGATGCAGATCTGGGCTTGACAGGTTTACTGGCTTCAGGCTTTTGATATGCTGGTTTTGATTATTTGGGGTCACAGGCTTTGAAATTTTGTTTGACAGGGCTTGTAGAGGTTTGGAACTTTAGGGCTTGTATGCTTAGCAGGTAGTTTGGTTGAAGTTTGGAGGCTTGACAGGTTATGTGCTTTTCTTTGTGTTGGAGGCAGGACTGTATGTTTCAATGTTACAGTTTGGAGAGTTTTTGCTTTGTGTTATTCTGCCCCCCCTTTTTCGTACTGTGTTGATATGTTTGTTTTATATCTTTTCTTCAAGCCTAAGCCTGCTGTAAGCCTTCTTATTTTTTCTCTTTTTCTCTCTCCACACATTTAAAAAGCATTTTTATTGCTTTAGAAATGTACTATTTCTGAAAAGGTACTGGCCTAGGAAAATGATTTAACTTGAAGGTTGCTTGCAATGCATATTTTCCAGTTTTCCTGCATCTTGTTGACAGCATTTTGTACTTCTTTGACAGCTTTTGGATAGCCTTTTGTACTTGTTGATGCTTTGATATCTTTTGATATCTTTGGACAGTTTGCTGTCCAGTTTGGACTTTGGTTAGGCATGTGTAGTTCAGTTTGCCTTTGGACTTTGGTTGGAATTTTTGGAATTATGCAGTTTTTGACAAACTTTGAATTTGTGCAATATTGTAACTTTGTGCATTTCATACTTTTTGCAAGCATTTTTATCCCTCTTTGTGAACCAAGAGCAGTCTTGTGATTTGCAGAGAGGGGAACAACTGATTCCAGCCAGTTACTTTTAATGATGAACTTTGTGATTAACTATCTGCTTTGAATTTCATTTCATCTGCTTTTGACTTTTTCTTTTTCTTTGTTTTGCAGATAAAAATCAATGGAGCAAAAGAGGAGTAGCAGTAGAAGAATGAAGATTTAGGAAATTAGGATAGCTTTATTTTACTTTTAATTATTGTAACATTATTAATGTAAACATCTGTAAATAAATTTACAGTGTACAAATAATAATTGTAACAAATAATTAAAGATGAATAAAATCCACTTTTGTCAGTTAATTCTTTTTCTTCTTCAACTGTTTATTTAATTATTTATAATTCTTAAAATTATAATAACTGGAAATAAATCCCAACTATTTTAACTCAGAATAATAAATAATCAATAAACGTCTGGAATTCTGAATAATCA